TTTGAAAATAAAAATGAATTAGGTATAAATTAAATTGTACTACAGTACAGGGCCGGATTTAAACATTATGGGGTAATGACTGTAGTATACTACAGTTGTTGTTATTGCATTATCACGGTGACGTAAAGTTGCGGGTTATATAATTACATGTGTATGTTTTATGTTTATACGAGTATATATAAAAATCATAATGTAATCTGTCACAAATCACAATGTAAAATGTTGGAAAATTCAAGACGTCTATAATCGTTATCGGCTTATCGCTGTTTATAGCGTTATTTATGCCTTTATTGTGAATTATTTATTATTTTGTACATTCCACTTTTCGACTAAATCTCGTTACTTCATTATGATCAGCCAAGAATACTCATGAGCCTGTACTGTTCAATTGTTTAAGTAAGTAATATTTATAATAAATTTAAAATTAAATAATTTTAATAATCTATACAAAGTAGAAAATATTTATATATAAATTTATATTTATAAATTTATTATAATAATTAGAGAATGGATATTAAGGGGATCGGTGACGTGCAGTTATTTTAGTCAAAACATACCTATCTTTTGACCATTCTACCGATCGACCTAATAATGCAAAAATATTTCTGAAAACTGATTTGAATTCGTTATTATATCTAATTGAGAACGGTCAGTCCACTTTTCCCAATTTTACCACCTCTCCCAACAACAACTATAATTTAATTTGAATATTTTGAAATTTCTGAATTTGAATATTAATTATTCGGAATTCAGAATTTTTAAAATGTTGACTGACCGATCTCTAGTAGACATACATAATAACGGATTCAAATCAGTTTTCAGAAATATTTAATAAATGAATATACATTATGTGCGTATTGTTATTTTATATGCAATGATTATTATTATGTATTACTATACATTGATGTAGTTATTTGTCAATTAGCAGATAAGAAGTAAAGCGAGTATTACAGGGTGAAGACGTGTAGTGCGAGACACGTACACATACTAATAATCATTTACTACGCACACAGTCACAAGTCACGCACGCTTTCAAGATTGAAAATTATAAAAAATAGATTACGAACTACAATGAATGAAGATCGTTTGAACTTTTTATCAGTTATGAGCATTGAAAGTGATGTGTTGGATAATCTGTCATTTGATGATATTATAGATGACTTTGCAGAAAAGAAATCAAGAAAAGTATGCAATTTATAATATTCTATTTTCTATGTAAACATAATAGGTTAATGACTGTAATAATAATCTTAACTTTTAATTGACTATTTTCTTTATTAAAAATATAAATACAAATTGTTGGTACAGTTTATTAATATATATATATTTAATTAAATACATTTTAGCCATAGATTATATTTTTTTATTAATAAAATAAATAATATATTACTGTATGACTTGTTCAATTTATTTAACATAAATAGTTATTTTTAGTTGTAACTATAGTCTATAAATATATTTTACGCATGAAATAAGTTTAGGTAGGTATGCAATTTTTGTTATGGATCATTTAGGGCCCCAAAATATTTTTGCCCTGTGCCCCATAATGTTTAAATCCGGCCCTGACTAGAGGTTAATTTATGCATTAGAAAATTTACCTGTATTTTACACAGTTTGAATAGGCAACTCCTGCTTCGATATACTATACACACACCGTCGTGCAGTTATTTTTGTGTTTTTACCAGACTCTTTTTTACAGCTGGATCATTGATACAGAGTGCGGCAAACAAACAGTGCTTCAGTTTTGAAAGGTTGGTACTTCCTGGTGGATTGGGTAGCAATATTGGAGGGGATCGTACTATCGTTGTGTCGGGTGGGTGCCGGGTGGTGTACTCACTACGACACTACTCGTAAGTCGCGCAGTCGTGCAGTACTGCAGTCGTGCCGTGTCGTCGGTTGGTCCAATACTCCAATTGTCCGTTAAACAAATTCTTCTGCAGCAACAGTTGGTCTCTGAGGGATTTCGAGCTCGTCTGATTTGAGCATTTGCGACTTCTTCCTGTGGAGCTACCCGAAGGAGAGTGTTTTTAAAACCGCCCCCCCACACCTCGGGAGAACTCAAAGATCAAATCTGAAAGGTAACTTCTGCTATTATACCCGTCGAGAAGTGCCGACAAATTTAGAAATCTCCTTTTCAATTAAAATTCGAACCTAACCTAACCTAACGCTTAAAAAATATACTGTGAATTTATATTTTCGATAATATGGATATGAACAACTTGAGAAATTTAGTATTACAAACTTTTTAATCAAAAACATAAATGACATCATAATTTTCATTTTTCTCCTCAGAATTAAAAAAACCATCTCTAAACTTAACTCACCAGACTATATAAGTAATTTCTTACATGATGTTGAACAATGAAACCGTATCTTAAGCAAATTCTGTTTCGAGTATAGGTAGTTTGCTACCTCACCTTGTGCTGGTTGTTCGCCCATCGCTCGTATCACTCGTATTTTCAAATTTTTCTACTGAATCCAGGCGCGCACCCAGAATTTTTGCTTGGGGGGGGCTTAATAATTTTTCTTTTTCCCTTACACACAAGTAAACAATTAAAACTAATTTTTAAATAACCAATTTTGTAAAAAATCGAACAGACTGAATTATCTAAACGAGATTTTCATGCCACAGACAGTCGAAAGTCATAATTATCATTGTTATCGTAGTTAACAATCAAAGTCGATCGTAAGTAATCGTTATTGTATCTATAAATCTAAAAATAATTTTCAACGAAATAAAAATCGACGATAGCCACCGTAGAGTAGGTATATTGATTGTCACAAACTCACAAACCTTATCGCGTAGTATTGAACTATTATGTATATATTATATGTGTATCTAACATAATAACAAAATTTTAAAATAAAACATTATCATTTATCATTGTTATACTATATTTTCTATAATAATGTGTAATATAATGAAAAAATATTTTTTGGGGGGTTATCACCCCCCTTGGGTGCGCCACTGACTGAATCTATAACATTGTATTTTAAAATGTGAACAAGTAGGGAATCAATATCGAACAGTGTGTCAAATGTAGATTGTCATTTAATAAGTTACAGTAATGGATGAGCTAAATTTGAATTCAATGATACACATAATAATTTATATTTTGTTAATTACGTAAGTTTTAAAAAACAACTTATCAAAAATTGAAGAATACTAATTAATAATTATTATTATATTTAATTTTTTTTCAAAAATGGTTTCAATTTAATACTAAACAGACATGAAAGGAGTAATTTTAACCCTTAACTTGGTGTTGTATCTTTTTGGATACACAAAGTTTGTGAATTTTTGTACGGAATCCGATGTACAATATTTTTATTTTTATTATTTGTACACTTTAATAAATGTCATATCTTCCACCTCCACGTGAGTACACTACGATAACGTTTCTATGATGATTGGGATTGATAATAAGTAATAACTGTTTTTTGTTATCATTTTTTGGAAATTTAAAGCCGATCAAACTCGTTGACTTCAACTGCTAATTTCATCAAATTTTAATGTGTTACTAGAATCAACTCAGTTAATCACTTTTATGTAAAGTTTCTAATAATGCTTATTTTATATCAATTTTAGAAGTATGTATCCTTTTAGATACATGAATATTAGTATTGGTTTATGGCTATGTATCTTTTAAGATACAATTCATAACTTTGAACTTTCAAGTCCAATATTTTTTTTGACAACATTTTTGAATTCAGCGACCTTAAATTAGTTTGAAAATATCTACTTTAAAATTTTTATTCTAATATTTTAATGCTTGCCAAGTTAAGGGTTAAAGGAATAATGATCATCATAATGTTTTGAAAAAATGTACCTACGTATAATGTTAAGTCATAAAATCACATTGCTAATATTATTAAGATCTTAATTATATTTTCGTGACCTGAACAGTTTTATATCTGTACTCTGTAGTTTAAATATTATATTGTTTTATAGTATATTAAATAAATGTTCAATAACAAATAAAACTAACAATCTGAAAATCCCTGTGACATTATCTGGTAATATTTGTATATTATAAATTTATAAATAATTTAAAATATAAAATAATATAATTTATGTTTTTTTTTTACTTTTTTCAGATCCAAAAAACATGGCACTCACTACAAATTTAGAAGCATTACGCTGTGCAAATCATGATTTTTCGTTTTCTTTGTACAAGGTATAGAACTAATTATTTTTATTGTAAATATCATTGATCACCTAATAGTTAATAATTCTATAGGAAGTGGCAAAAACCGAAACAGGAAATATATTTTATTCACCATTCAGTATCCATGTGATTATGTTTATGGCTAGCACTGGAGCAGCTTCGAAAACCTTTGATGAAATGGTTGCTACTATGCATCTAAATGAAACTACTCATTCACTGGAAGCATATGGGAAATTATTGGAAGAATTAACAGTGAGTTTATTATTCCACAATACCGCATATCTTTCATAATACCTATTTTGAATTAGAATATAAATTGTTTTACTGTTTGCTTATTTTACAATTAAGAAATGTATGGGAATGGAATATCAATTTTTTTCCCGAATATCATGTTAATTTATTTTTAAAATTTAGTATCGTAATGTCGTTTAAAAAAAGTATTTTTAAAACAGTATGAAAATAGTTTGTGAAATAATAAAATGCAATGTCCTTATAAAAATAAAATTTGTTTATAGTACTTTCATACTGTTTTAGAGTGGAAATGATAATCTGAAACTGGCAACTGGAATGTTTGTCGATACAGCTTTCAATGTCAAAGATAGTTTTGTAGAAAACTCCAAGAAATATTTAAAATCGTCTATAGAAAAATTGAATTAAATAATGTGAGTAATAATAGTATAGTTCCAATTTTGTTTTATAGACTCTATTAATAATGATACTGCCTTAGTATTGACAAATGCTGTGCATTTTAAAAGTGCATGGTCACAGCATTTTAAGCATGTATATGATGGCTCCTTCTATGTGACTCCAAGCGACGAAGTACCAGTGAAAATGATGTATCTGGAACGGGATTTTCAATACTACCATGATAGTGTTTTAAATTTCACTGCAATTGAAATACCCTATAAAGTGAATATTGCTTTAATTCTTTATAATTAATGTAAATTTAACATTTTGAGAAATTAGTTATTTTGTTTTTTTTTTTTTTTTTAGAACCATGCTTTCAAAATGATCATTTTATTGCCCGATGCTAAAGATGGTTTGAATAATCTGGAGAATAATATTTCAAAATTTAAATTACATGATATTTCAAAGAAAATGAGCCAGCGTTACCTAAGTGTAAGATTACCTCGTTTCAAAATAGAACAGTCACTGCAATTAGATGAAACATTATCCAATGTAAGTAATATATGAATGAAAAAAAAAAATCTAAATTTATTTATTCATTTAATATTTAATTTAGCTTGGATGTCCAACAATGTTTTCACAAGCGGCAAATTTCTCTAACATTGTTGAAGATGGTAAACTGAAAGTGAGTAAAGTTTTGCATAAGGCATATATCGATGTAGATGAATACGGAACTGAGGCTGCAGCAGTTACAAGTAATAATAAAGTTTATTTTTCTTACTGGGGTGGGACACCATAAAAATAATATTTCATAGTTAATATTGTTTCTATAAGTGTGTAAACACCTATGGACACCTACCAATTTGTGAATAATTAATAATCGTTTATGAACCTAATACTTTATATAATAGGTAATATCCCTCCCCCACCATTCACTTAAGTTATGCCAATGTTAATATAAAATATTTAACTATTTCACTCAGGCTTTTGAACCTATCTAAATTTAATATTATTAAAAAGATAAAATTATAGCATTTATAATATTATTAGGTTTTCAATTACGTTATATGTGTGCAATCGTCAGATCTTCTGAAGATTTCATTGTTGATCATCCATTTATGTTATTTATTTCAACTAGCTGTAATAACGTAATATTTGTAGGTCGAGTGATCAAAATTGATTAATTGGCACAAAATCTTATTAAAGTTATTTCAATTCTGTATTAAACTTTGTTATTGACATTAACTATTTTGAATCATTTATATTATAACATTTGTTATTATATATTATATTTTATTGACAAATTTGTTAGTAAAAACAATAATATTATATACGTATAAGCACATACCATGTATTTTTAGTTGGAAATAATGTGTTTATTATGTTTTGATTTTTAACAGCTGTAGCCTTTAATTCTTACTTTTAACAATGTTATTCCATTTATCGCTTCTTATAATAACTATGTTGATTGGAAAAGATTTCTATAAGGGCTCGAAACCGTTTCGGTTTTTGTTTTAATAACTTTTTATTTAATTTTCCTGATTTTGTGTCATTTTTGTCATTTTGTGCAGAGTGATAAATATATTGATTTTATGATGGTAAGTGTTTTTTTCTGCCTGTCTTCGCCTTTAGGGGCACTAAAAATGTTCTGATTTTCTGCTTCAGCATCTTTCTGATAGAAATGTGAATTAAGTTGGTACTTTGGAGAGGCCAAAAATAAAAAAAATACCAGTTGTTTTCAAAAACGTCGGGAAAATCAAAAATTAAATTACAAAAAAATGGACATTTTTAAGCAAACCCAGTTTTCGACAAAATCGATTTTTGTAGTAACTCAAAAATGAACACCTGTAGAGTGTAGATAAGTACATTTCATTTTTACCAAATGTTTATAATAATATTCCATACACAATTTATGACTATTTTTACCTATGATAATATTAAAAAATAAAACTTTCAATCTGCAGGCTTCAGTAAATATAATTAAAATAATTTTAACACATTTAATGCATAACCTAATTTAACATTTTAAATATTATAGCTGCTATCCAATATCAACAACAGTGTGTAATGTCATTTATAGATGTCAATGTTGATCATCCGTTTATGTTTTTTATTTCAACTAGATGTAATAGCATTTTATTTGTAGGTCGAATGACCAAAATTGATTAATAAGCATAAAATCTTATTAAAGTTATTTTAATCAGATATTCTATTTCATTTACAACATTAATTATTTTGTATCATAATATTATAATATACTCTAATTATTATTTATTTATTTTATCATGAAATTTATGAGTATTCTTTTGTATTTATTAATTTATTATTGCCATTCATTTCTTTTCTTTTAATTTAATTAAACAAGTGCATTCTGTGTATTTTTAAAATAATATGTATGTGTTTTGATTTTTAGAACTTAAGCTTTTATAACCCTTAGTTTTAACATTGTTATTTTATTGATTGCTTTTAATTGCTTATTAATTGAAAGGATTATTATCAGGGCTCAATACAATTTCAAATTGTATCGGTTTAGTTTTAATACCTAACAAATTTTTTTTAAAAGAAAAAGTCTACTGTAAATTCACAATAGTTTTTCATGAGCGTCTGAAGTTAGAATTTTGTCAAAATTCGTAAAAATCACAAACATTTGAAAACTATTTTTTCATACAATCGTGTGTTTTTATTCAAAAATTGAATATGTATATACGATTCCAGTGGTTCGACCCTTGACCCAAATAAAAATCTTCAGGGGAAAAATTAAGTTAAAGAGTTGAAATTAATTAGTTTTAAGTCCATAGACATGAAAAACAAAATGTTTTAATTGTTTTCTATGGCTACAGTTATACTTATCACTTTATTATGAATTATTTTTTTCGTACTTAGTAATAATTTCTTATTTAGTATGTACAAATAACTGCTGCAGGTATAACAATAATTTACAACACACTACTATATTAGTCATATATTTCTAAATTTTAAAATACATATTTTAAACTATCAACACGACGAATACGAAAAGTATGATGGTATAGTTTATAATGGTTTTAAATAGGTACCTACTTTTCTCTTTTCCTATAAAATTTAAAAATTAAGTTTTCTTAAATTAGTCAAAACATGACAAAATGATTTAATTCACAAACATAAGTCCACAGTGTGTAGGTATAGTTTTCTTTTTGTTGAATAAAGTAACTAAAATTACTTTCTGATGGGGGGGGAAGTAGGTAAAATAAGTACACAAATTAAACGAAATAGGTACCTATCAGAATATACACCTAACTTAAAAGTGTTCATCAGTTATGTCCATTGTTGATAGTTGAAGAATTTTAATAACAGCCACTGAAGCTTTTTGGTAATTGCATACTCTTTTTTCAAAGAAGTTTGTCTTTCCTCGTTGCAAATGGGAACGGGCTTGACTACCTGTAAACCAATAATTTACATATTTATATTCAATTTGATAATTAATATTACTATGATCATTTTTTATCAATTTTTACTATAAGCATAAGCTAAACATACAATTGAACATTTAGTACATTTTTAACTACAAATAATTTGCAGGTTGTAGATGAATTTTGTCCAAGTGTGAACTTTAAATGCTCATGAAAAATTGTGGCTATGTATCCCTTACATTTGTGAACAGATATTATAGAAACTATTATAATAGGATGCCCGTATTACATTTTCAAACTCTTTGGCATAGCAATAAAATTTATATTGTCAATAATTTTGAAAACAAAACAAATCGAAAAAATTTAAATGTATTATCATCATAACTAGGTGAAAAAGAGTAAAATTGTATGGTGTATAGAAAATGCCAATAGGAACATTTGGCAGACAAATCATGTATCTATACCTAGGGATTTTTTTCTTCTCACACTCATAAAACAAAATCAATTTTTCCTTAATTATCTTTTTGTTTTTCCCGATGTATTTGAAAACAACTGGAAACATTCAATTATTACCTGTTTAACGCATCCATCGAGATGCACTTTCCCTATCGAAAAGATACCGATTTCAAAACTAGTTATGTGTTTCTTTGCAATTTCAATATTATGTTGTGGCCCTCTGCGTTATTAAAATTGGATTCTTGTTCAGCAAAATTGTATTATCTAAAAATTAAAACTTTGTTAAAAATATGTTGAAAATAATGTGAGTACAGTAGATCAAGTTTTGTACCTTTAGTCTTAATATATTACAGTGATATGACATAATGTTATAATCAAACTTAAAGGCAAACATTTTTTTTTTAAAGAACCTTAGGGCAAGCACTTGTTATATTCTTAAAATAAGTCATGGATATTTTGAGATTATAACACATACCTAACATATTCATTTATTAATTTATTTTGAGTAAACGGGCTGAGCCCTTTCCATAGACAAATATATGTACACGCACACAATTTGATAATATTACACAATGTATCCCGTGAACAGATGGGTATGTAGTTAGTTACTAGCACTGTAAAATAGATTTGAAATAAAAACCTATCAACAATATTCTCACCTTTAAGTTTCATAATTCGCTACAATATTGTATGGTTTCATCTGAGTCGGTAGAATTTTCTCCAAGAAAAATTGTCAATACATTGGCTCCACTACCTAGTTCCTTGCATGTGGTACTTGCATATGTTTCAGTGTTGAAAACCATAATAAGTATAATACATTGTATGAACTAAAAACAATAAACTATGAAGTAACTTTTGGTTTTGGCAAACATTTAAAATTGGATACTTGTGTGATATACTCACACATGTGTGTGTGAATTTGACATTATTGAGTATCTAAGGCTTTTCTGGGCGAATTAAAATAATCATCAACTGTACGGCCTCCAAATCCTTTATTGGTCTGTTAATTTTCTTCTAACTCGTCGTTGGAGAAACATCATTTTCTGAAAATGTCAAGTTGTAAAAAAAAAATACATAAATAGGTACCAAATTCATGGATTATGTTAAATGATTTTACCTCTTAGATGCGATTTACTAATCGTGCTCAGAGTAGTACCAATGTTGCTGTAAAGTACTAACATTTATTTTACTTCTCTATCCCAAACAAGTGGTTTGGATTATGTTTTGAGACAGCCTCTGACCATATTTACTAATTTACTGGGCATTGTTTACAATCACTAATAATTGAGAAATGATTACCGCTGCAGATTCTATGCCAGGTAGAAATCGTGATAATTCGAACATTTGTAGCCATTATTTCCTTTTATTTCATTGATTTTTTGGAAATCTACCTATATTTGTAAACAAATTAGCAAATTAGACTGACTCCACATTACTAAGAAATATAATCAGTACAACTAGAAAATAATACTTACAATTGAAAATTAACGTAATGTGGCGAGGCGATACATTGGATGTTTTACTAAAAAGAATACACTTATCCATGGTGATTTTGTACCAAAATTTATGAATAGTACTCTGTACCTACGACTGTAGTTCTGTAGTCTGTATTTTTGTTCGAATTTCAAATAATCGAGACTCGCGAGTGATTCAAATATTAAGGCTACATCGAAAAAATAATAATATTATTATGTTGTTATTTATTTGATAACAATTATTACTATCATAGTTCGTTTTCCATAGTGATAAGACAGAATCGCGGGCATTAAAATATTACATTTTACCGAAGTCCGAAATTTCGTGAACGATGCAGCTCCACGAACCACGATTTAAGACGTAACACGGGCATTTTACTGTCTCCGTCTTATATAGCAAAATTTACGATCAGCAGATCACATTTAGCATCGTCAGTTCAAAAGTTAGAGTGAATCGACGTATATTGAAACAATTAGCAAATTTACGTTCTGCGTAATAAAATTTATTATTTGGGTCTGTGTACACGATAAGTAGTCGAAATAATGCTTCGCTTTTCATCTTTTCCGGTGGCAAAGTGAATCTAGTAGGTGCATAGGGCATGTCGAAATGAACAGTACCTACCTAGTGTCCAAAAGCGGCGGGAAAAACGAAAAAAAAATATAGGAAAACGTGAATTTTTACGTAAAATCGGTTTCGGTATTTCGTGTAAGTGGTGTAACTATAAATTAAATTACTGTAAATACATGCAAATTCCATTGATTGTCTATATTGGAATCGAAAACCATAACATTTTCAAAATATTTAGATTCATGTCGAGGTATTCGTTATACTTATATGCATACGAAATATTCGTTTTTCCTTAATTTTCTAAAAAATTTTCGCTCGGTCCAATTACTTGAGAATGTAATACGCCTACAACGTTCCTCGCAAGTCGTTGGTGGAAATTAATTTTTACGTTTTGTGTAATTAAACCATTTAGGTCATTCTGTGCGAAGCGATGAATATTATACTGATTTCACGGTGAGATGTATGTTTATTCTACCTGCATCTGCACCTTTATTGGCAGTAAAAATGCTCTAATTTTCTACTTCATAATCTTTCTGATAGGAATGTAAATGTAGTTGGTACCTACTATTAGGAGGCCAAAAGTAAAAAATTACCAGTTGTTTTCAAAATCGTCAGGAAAAACTAAAAAATTAAATAAAGAAAAACTGGCATTTTTCCCTCAAAACCAGTTTTCGACAAAAATCGATTATTCTAGTAACTCAAAAACAAATAATTGTACCTGATACTATACATTTTCAACCGAATGTATATGACCGTTTTCCATACACGATTTACTACAAAATACTATGATTACCAATATTAAAAAATAAATTTTTCAATCTAGCTTTTTTAAATATAATTAAATACATAAGCTAATTAAAACATTTTAAATATTATAGCTTTTCAATTTGAACTGCTGTGTGCCAGATCATCTATAGATGTCACTGTTAATCATCCATTTATGTTTTTTATTTCATCTAGATGTAATAGCATTATATTTGTAGGTCGAATGACCAAAATTGATTAATAATCATAAAATCTTATTAAAGTTATTTTAATCAGACATTCTATTTTATTTACAACATTAATTATTTTGAATCATAATATTATTATTATTATTTATTTATTTTGTTATGAAATGTATGAGTATTGATTTGTATTTATTAATTTATTATTGTCATTCGTTTCTTTTTTTTAAATTTAACTAAGCAAGTGCATTCTGTGTATTTTTAGATTAAAATAATATGAATGTGTTTTGATTTTTAGAACTTAAGCTTTTATAATCCTTCGTCTTAACATTGT